ACATATTGGTCACTCAATACCATGTCAATTAACCCCATAATGATGTAAATTGTTGTTGATGTTATGTTGTGGCTTTTCATTGGACGGGATGATATTCTGCCAGCTCTGCTTTCAGATCAGAGATGGTCTCCCCAAGAAACTGTTGAATTTATCTGGACAATAAGAGGCTGGACTCTATGCATGGTACATGCTTGCAATGAAAGAATCATGACTGGATTTGAACTGTAACACTGCAACAAGGTGGAGGAATCCACCATGGGGGGAGGGTACGGGGAGGAGTTTGGGTAATCCCAGAGCCTATGAAACTGTGTCATAAAATGAAAAAAAAAAAAACGAACAAAGCAGAAAGTTTCAGGATGAACTTGTAATAACAGCCAACCTGGATGGTTTGGGTGAATAATGCATTTGAGCAGGTATCATCTCCCTTGTCCTCTTGTTTTCATCCCTGAAATCTCATGCCCCAAGTTATTCCAGATGTCTACTCCAAAGATGTGCTTACTTGAATATTCTAAAGTTGAATGGTAGAGAACAGATGGAATAAATAGAGATTACACAAAGTAAATCAAAAATTTAGATAAACTATGATTCACAAGCAAAATTCATTTTTCTTTTTTTTTTTTTTAACATTTATTTGTTTTTACTGGAAAGGCAGATTTACAGAGAGATGGAAAGACAGGTCTTCTGTCTGCTGGTTTACTCCCCAAATGGCTGCAATGGCCAGAGTTGAAATGACCCAAAACCAGGAGCCAGGAGCCTCCCTGGGTCTCCCACATTGGTGCAGGATCCAAAGATTTTGGGCCATTCTCTGCCGCCCTCCCAGGCCACAAGCAGAGAGACAAACAGGAAGTGGGGTAGCAAGAACATGAACTGTGCCCATTGAGGATCCTCACACTGAGGGAGGATTAGCCAATTGAGTCATTGCACTGGGCCCACATTTTTCTCTTTGGGAACCTATCTTTTGCTCCTAGATTTCATTCCTAACCTGAAATGTTAAAATTATTCACGTACATACTTCAAAAGCTGTAGTATATGTAAACTATCTATACAAAGTACAAAGTTTTGAGTATTTCCAAAATCTCTAAACATTCCAGTTTAGGCCAAAAAGAAACTATGCTGTGATTGGGAAATCTAATGCTTTCCTGGAGTCATTTAGATGAGAGTCAGTTTCATATGAAGGATAGTTTTCCACTTTTACTTCCTCTCTCTCAAGCTCCCTCTCCACCTCCTTCTATGTGAACAACTTTAGGCAGTCTTTATGTAAAGGCCTCAAGGCTATGCAAATAATAAGTTATCACAGAATTCCATCTATTAAACATCTTGGTTTCAAACAATACTGAAGCAAATGATTTCAGATAGAAATCATACTGACTGGGAAAGTACCACTAAAAATAAGAAGCCCAAAGGATCAAAACTTCTACAACATTTGCACACAATCTGTTATTATAACTTAATTATTTTGTGTCCAATGCCTGCTCTTCAACTCTCTGTCTACCTTGGAATTTCCACAACTCCATAATAAGTGACCTTGGAGCAATCCTGGGGAAGTAGACGTAGGTATAACAAATGATTACATTAACCCTGTCTAAAGGAAGGGCTGTGCAAACTGAAAAAGAATGTTCTACATGAAAGATGAGAAAAAGACAAGACTTGAAAGCTGACAACCAACAGAGGAAACAGAAATGGACCATCTGGCAGTATGACATAAGCCAGGCAAATTGAGGAGTGGGGAATTGGCAAGGTTTCACTCAGCCTGAATGAAACAGTCACCCAAACCATTCAAGTATTATATCTCTGATTCCAAGCTCACATAGAAGCTTTTAGCTAGCTTCTCAAATATCCTGAGATATGGAGCCAGAAGCCAGATACAGACAGTATAAAAACCTAAGTCCCTGGATAAGATTATCCCCTACATTTCTGTTTATGCAAAAGAGACTATAGTCTAAAGTGCCCAAGAGCTAGAGACATAATGGCTTCAAATCCTTACTCCGCTTAACTTTTCTGTTTCAGTTTTCCTGTTCAGTGAGAGTAATGCTAGTGATGCTTACTTCAAGTGTTGTCACATGGACTGTTAATTCATGCAAGGCACTTAAGCAGTACTTGATACATAGCACTCAATAAAACTACAATGATTTTTTCATAATAATTATTAAACATCTCTCACAATTTAAATGTGTGAGTCAAAATCTGTGACCAACTTTAACAAAAAAAAAAATGATTATCAAAGAAATGCTTTAATATAAGGCCTCAATGGTCAGGCAAGAATATAAAATGTGTGTATGTACTGGGAGGAGCTCAACTCGAAGAGGCAATCAGGATGACACCTGCAACCCCAGAATCCTGTATTAGTGCTAGCTAGTCTCCACTTCTAATCCAGCTCCCTGCCAACACCCTTTGGAAAGCAGCAGAAGATGGCCCAATTTCTTGGACGCCTGTAATCATGGTGGAAATCTGGGAAAAGTTCCTGGCTCCTGGCTTCACACCCTCCCAGATCCTATCATTGCAGCCATTTGGGGTATGAATCACTCAATCTTTCAAATAAATTAAATATAAACAACTTTTTTTTAGGAGGCAAACAGGAAATAAATCATGAATGCTTTGTATAATACACCAAGAACTTTGAAGTATGTCTTATAAGCATGAAGAGGTACCCCGAAATAACTTCAACTGTCAAAACATTATTAAAACAAATTTAAAACTGACAAAACTTGCAAAAATATCAAGGAGAAAAATCCAGAAAAAAAAAAAAAACAATGCTCAGTGATTTAAATATTTTCGTTGCAACACAAGGTAAATTGAAACCAAAACAGAATGTAAGAAACTGAAATAAGTACAAACAAGCCCTATCCCCAGCATTCTCTATTTTTAACAAAGGCACAGTGCTCCTGTTTCCTGGCTCCATTATCCACTTCCTCCAATTGTTGAAGGCCCCAAATTCATCATTTTCAAGTTTCTCTCCTCCACAAAAAAAGAACAGACCAGTCCCTGTCACCTGCTCCTCTGCCTATAGATCCACAAACAAATGTATCCTAGTATAAAGAACTCAAGGTCCTTAGGGGCAAGCAACATCAGACGCTGCAAACACCACAATATATACATAGCACAGAGTGCAAACAGATAAAAACACATTTCCAGAATGGCTGAGACACGGGAACTAAATGAAAAAGATTTAATTCAGAAAACAGGGGTGAGGGGGGAAAGCTGATGCTTTCACAAAAATCACAAACAGCAAACATCTCTTTTGCTATCTGAATCTGCTTGCACCCGAAATAACCAGATACATTTTTGAAAACTGTGTCACAACAACAAACACTACCACAGGGTTCACAGAATTCTCAAGCTCCTGGGCCTTAATCCAATTTTCATATATTTTAACAATGTGTCCACTAAGCCCAGAGTTCTATTTCCTCACATGCAGAGTAGAAACATGATTTTAGCTGTCACATCAGGAATAGCCAATTAACAGTTATACAATATGATAATGCAAATTAGGGAAGATATAAGATATACCAAACTCATTATTTCGCAGTTACTGCTTTGAAAAAAAGGCAATATTTGTTTTTTCAAAATCAATAAAAATATGAAGTAAAGAGACAATAGCAAATGGCAAAAAATTATCACGGTAGTGTGACTTCTTGGTGAAGCAATGACAGCTGTCCTGTGAGCACAGGATATGGCTGTGATTGACTGTTTCCTGGTTCTAGGTTGTGTTCTGGAATGATTAGGAAAAAATGTGACCTTTAGTTAACTGAGTTTGTATGCTGCATTTAAGTTCATTCAGAATAAAACAAACACAGCATCATGCATACAGAAAACCTACCACGTACAAGGGAAAAACGCAATATTTTTTGGAAAAAAAATCAAAGCAAGTCTGTCATTCCTCTTCTGGAACCAAGGCAGCAATTTTCTGTTGTAAATCTATTGAGCACAAGCACCTAAAATCAAAAAAGCCTAGCAAGATGGGCAATCAGTACCTTCTATGATCACTCCATCTACACCTCACGTGTCACAGGAGCCCGGTATCAAGAGGTTTTTCTGCCATTTGTTAGCATTTGTATCATCTTATTCTTTCTCATCAGCTCTCACCACTTTTAAAGAACAAATGATAAGGGGCCAAAAGATGCCTTCTACATCCACTCAGCTGGTGACAGAAATAACTTTTCTTATTTTCCTAAAAAAGCTTTTTAGATGAGATCTCAAACCATTGTAGCTAAAGACATCTCACAAATTTCAAGCATTCACTTTCCGGGTAGGCAAGCCCGTGGGAGAACCACTTTTACCTGAGACATCTGAGAACCAGCCTTGGCATAGCAGGAACTTTACAGAATCCTGTCTCTGCCAACCCCTGGACCACCTGCTGGACACTCTGCACACGCACTGTCCGAAAGCTACCAACATGGGAAGATCAACAGCAAAAAAATCCAGTGATACTCCGTCCTTTTTCCTTCCTCAAACAGGGTCTCTTTCGGTTCCCTCTATCAGCAGCTGCAGCGGCAGCACTAACACTGTGCTGACTAACGACTAAGGACGAACAAAAAGGATGAGGTGAAACAACACTTTACAGGGCTCTCCCTCCCACCCCCACCCTTCCTCCGTCCACCCCGAACTGCACTCTGAACTCTGAGCCTTTGCTTCGCGCGTCTGCAGTCAAGCCAAGGGTGGACCCTCCTAGTCCACTCCTTGGAGCAATTATGTCAGGGCCATCTCACCCGTGTGGTCACCATGTAGTCCATTAACCCCAACTACGCAATGTGGGCGGCAGGCAAAGGGCCCGGGGGTGCTGATGTCCGCTTAAAGCGCGGCAACTACGAGCCCGACACCCCGCCTCCGCCAGCCCCTTTCACGGTCCCCCCTTATCGGGCCCAACCTGCTGGTTCTGGGCCAGAGTGTCCCCTCCTCTCTTGAAGCCCAACCCGCCAACTTCTCAACAGTCACAATACACCGTTTCTTCTCAAGACACCAGCCGCACCTTCAGCTGCCTCAGCACCCCCCTGGACACTCACCAAGCTCCTCCCGACCACTGGTCTCTCTGGCCGCGGCAGCTGTTCGGACTCTCCAGCTCTGGACTTGGAGCTGCGCCCTGGTCGCGCCTGCGCGCGCTGGAGTCGCGAGGCTGCGCACTTCCAGGGCGCCGAGGCGGCGGACACACCCCTACGGCCGGAGCCAATCACGGAGCGGGGGTGTTAAATCTCCCTTGCCACGCAGGCCTGGAGCCTGAGAACTCACCCGTTAACCCGACGGCTTCCAGTCCCCCCCTCGCAGATGGGCGAGCCGTGTGCCCCGCACGGTGCGGGGTCAGCCCTGAGGGAAAGGAGGCAGCTGGCTGGGACGCGCCGAGCACTGTTCAGGGCCAGCCCTGAAGGAAAGGAGGCGGCTGGGAAGGGCTCCCTGTGCTGCGGGGCCCCGTTGAGCGACCCACAGACCGGACGGAACACACATGGGAGCACGCAGGAAATTCGAGGCGCCTGCGGCTCACCATGAACAAGGCCTTTTGATCTTAGGAGTATCTGTAAGTGTTCCTGGAGGAAGTGACTTTGGAGTCGTGAAGGATAAATCGGATTCTTCGGAAATCCTTAGGGAGGAAAGTCAAATTTTGCTGCCTTTGCAAACAGCATATACCAAGAACAACATGGCGCCTTTGGAAATCAAGTTTATTCTTGAGAGAGGGCTTAGAGCCTATAGTACATCCCTGAATGACGGGACAACAAATAAGCTCTTGTGAAAAGACTGGCACAGCCAGACCTTGTGGAAGTCTTAAAGTTTTGGAAACACCTTGACCACTGAGCACTTGTTGGCTATTTTAAACCATTTGTTTGAGGAACTTGCCCCTTTAAGAATAAGATGTTCTCACTTTTCTGTCTTTGGGTCAAAAAGGAATAATTTGTTCCACAGGGATCACAGATGATTCAGAACTAAACTTTTTAATTTCATAACATAGAAGGCAAAAGTAATCATTCTGAAAGCTGTTTGGTAAAAGGAAGGGATTGAAAACTAGGCTACCAGCATGGTAGCTAGTGGTTAAACCTTCACCTTGTGTGTGCCAGGATCCCTTATGGGTTCCAGAATGTGACTCAGATGCCCTGCTTCCTATCCAGCTCCCTGTTTGTGGCCTGGGAAGGCAGTAGAGGACAGCTCAAAGCCTTGGGACCCTACACCATCATGGGAGACCTGAAGCAGGCTCCTGACTTTGGGTCAGCTCAGCTCCAGCAGTTGTGGCCACTTGGGGAGTGAACCAACAGATGGAAGATCTCTCTCTGTCCCTCCTTCTCTCTGTACATCTGACTTTCCAATAGAAAAAAAATTTTTTAAAGTTAAAGCCTAGATGGCAGGACTGGCTTTGTGGCACAGGGATAAATCACTGCCCACAATGCCAGCATTCTATATAAGCAATGCCTGCAGTCCTGGCATTTTTAGTTCCAATCCAGCTTCCTGTTAATGCAGTAGGGAAAGCAGCAAAAAGACAACCCAAGGCACCTGCCATCCACACAGGAGACATGAATGGAGTTCCAGGCTGCCATTGTGGCCTTTTAGGGAGGGGACTAGCAGATGGAAGATCTGTCTCTGTGTGTCTCGCTGTAACATTCATATTCAAATATTGCAGAAACTTCTTCAGGGTCGGCCGCATTGGTTGCAAATATTTGGGCCATCTTGCTTCCTTAGCAGGGAGCCAGATGAGAAGGTAGAGTAGCTGGGGCATGAACCAGTGCCCATATGTGATACGGCATCACAGGAGGCAGCTTTACTTACTACACCACAATGCCAGCCCTGTAAATAAGTCTTACAACAACAAAAACTAGATTGCAGTACTTTGGAGATGGAAGAGATGCAGAAATTCAGACGGCTTATGGAATACTTTTTGAAAGTTTGATAGCCAGTTGAGAAGTGAATCAGTAGATGGAAGATCTCTCCATCCCTCCGAACCCCTTTCTAAAACTCTGATTTTCAAGTAAGCTAAATAAATCTGTAAGAAAAAAAATTTTTTGGTTTTGAGGAAGAGGAAAGAGAGGATGCTAAAAGGTCAAGGCTTTTTTAAAATTTGAAACATAGGACCTGGCACGATAGCCTAGCGGCTAAAGTCCTCACCTTGCACATGCCAGAATCCCATACAGGGAGTGGTTCTAATTCGACTTCCCATCCAGCTCCCTGCTTGTGGCCTGAAAAAGCAGTAGAGGACAGCCCAAAGCCTTGGGACCCTGCACCTGCATGGGAGACCAGGAAGAGGCTCCTGATTCCTGACTTCAGATTGACTCAGCTCTAGCCGTTGCAGCCATTTGGGGAGTGAATCATTGGACAGAAGATGTTCCTCTCTGTCTCTTCTCCGGAAGATCTTCCTCTTTGTCTCTTCTCTTCTCTGTACATCTGACTATCAAATAAAAATAAATAAATCTTTAAAAATTTAAAATATAAAAGTTAAAAACATGTCTATGGGGGCCCGGCGCGGTGGCGCAAGTGGTTAAAGGTCCTCACCTTGCACGCCCGGGATCCCATATGGGCGCCGGTTCTAATCCCGGCAGCCCTGCTTCCCTTCCAGCTCCCTGCCTGTGGCCTGGGAAAGCAGTCGAGGACGGCCCAGAGTTTTGGGAACCTGCACCTGTGTGGGAGACCCGGAGGAGGCTCCTGGCTTCGGATCGGCATAGTATCGGCCCGTTGCGCTCACTTGGGGAGTGAATCATCGGACGGAAGATCTTCCTCTCTGTCTCTCCTCTCTGTATATCCGCCTTTCCAATGAGAAAATAATAAAAATAAATCTTTAAAAAAAAAAAACATGTCTATGTATTTGAAAGAATTAGAGAGAGGCAGAAAAATCTTGCATCCACTTCTTCACTCCCCAATGGAATAGAACTGCAACTCTCTTGAGTGAGTGGCAAGGCAGTATGCCACAATGCCAGCTTCCGATGATACATTTTGAATTATTGTTATAACCACGAGAAATTTGAACATGGTACAGAAGATCCATCTTAGAAAAATAGAAGAGGAGAAGTGATAGGATTTGGAGAGGGTAAGAGCAGAAGCAATTCAAAGCCCTGGTGGTTAAGGTTGTAAAATTGGCAGCCTGTAATTGCAACAATTGCAGTTGCACCTGCTCAACTTCTGATCCCACTCTCTCTGCTAATGTGCCAGGAAAGCAGTCAAACTTTGCCCAAGTGCTTGGGCCCCTGCCATTCCTCTTCCTTTAGCCTGGCCAACCCAGGCCATTGCAGCCATGTGAAGAGTAAATCAGAGGATGGAAGGTCTGTATGTCTCTTCCTCTCTCTCTCTCTCTCTCTCTCTCTCTCTCTCTGTAACCTGCTGACTTTCAAATAAATGAATCTTTCTTTGAAAAAAGAAAAAAGAGAAAGAGAATGTGCCACTGATGGCAGAATTGGTCCTGAAGGGGAGAGAAATGGGGTATCTCTTCATCATGAGAGAGGAAGCATTTGTAAAATTGTATGTTTCGTAAAAGGAAGTTAAAGAATTTCTCATCTGATGACGTATTTTCTTGGTGAAGTAACAGAGCTTTGTTCTATTGGTGAAGAAAGAGTTGGTGTTGGGAGTGTCAAAGTTGAAGTTTTAACATGTTTTAGTAGAAAGTAGTGGAGCCAGTTGCAAGAGAAAAGCTGTGGAACTACTCAGCAGTGTTGAGGAACTGTTTAAAACGAATGATAAACATGAACCCACCAGTCCTTGTGTTCTTAAGCAATAATCGCTTTTAAGAGCAGAGCTAGGGACTGGCACTGTAGCCTAATCTTCCACCTGCAGTACTGGCATCCATGTGGGCTCCTGCCGTTCCACTTCTGATCCAGCTCACTGCTTATGATATAGGCAATCAGTGGAGGATGGCCCAAATTCTTGGGCCACTACGCCTATGTGGGAGACTGGAGGAGGCTCCTGCCTCCTGGCTTTGGATCTGCTCAACTCTAGCCTTTGTGGACATTTGGTGAGTGAACCAGCAGATGAAAGATCTCTCTCTCTCTTTCCCTCCTCTTATTTCTCTTTCCTCTGTTTCTCTTTCCTTCTCTCTGTAAATCTGTCCTTTGAATCAAACAAATCTTTAAAAAAAAAAAAATAAATAAAAGCAAGGGGCCCGGCGGCATGGCCTAGCAGCTAAAGTCCTCACCTTGAACACCCTGGGATCCTATATGGACACCGGTTCTAATCCCAACAGCTCTACTTCCCATCCAGCTCCCTGCTTGTGGCCTGGGAAGGCAGTTGAGGACGGCCCAAAAGCTTTAGGACCCTGCACCCGTGTGGCAGACCCGGAAGAAGTTCCTGGATCCTGGCTTTGGATCGGCATAGCGTCGGCTGTTGCGCTCACTTGGGGAGTGAATCATCGGAAGGAAGATCTTCCTCTCTGTCTCTCCTCCTCTCTGTATATCTGATTTAGCAATAAATAAGTAAATCTTTAAAAAAAAAAAAAAAGCGGCTAAAATGTAAAAAAAAAAAAAAAAAAAAAAAGCAGAACAAAATTTAAAAATAAAAGCAAAGATGGGGAAAACAAGGATGAATTCACTTAGGGTTGGCACAGTCTTTCATATAATACCCCAATTCTCAACCCAGGACATCTGGAAACGTCTCAAGATGTTCCTGATTATTTTAATGACAAGGAGGAAGGCACAAGCAAGGTACTAATGGCATCTACTTTCCAGGGATACTGCTAGCCTTTAGAATGCACAGACCCTGGCAACAAAAAATTATTCCCAAATGTGTATGTTGTAAAGGTTGAGAACCCCTGAGCCAGGTTACCTTGATCTTCTCCAGTATGTGACTTTGGTCTTCTATAGGCTTTTGCTTGGATTATGGCCATGAGCTTGTCAATGAAGCAGTTCTTCCATTTTGTGCCTTTAAAGGAGCCTAGAACGAGAGGCATACCATAGACCTTGTTTCAAAGACTTGTGATGTCACAAATATAGAATTAGAAGACTCATAAATGAAGGTAGCTGCTTCCTTTTATTGGACACATTAAACATGTGGTTATACAAAGGCATTATTATGATTTCAGTAATATAGAAGGGTAGCACTGGGACAGGAGGCAGCCAAACATTAACTAGGAAAGGTAAGAAAGGGAAATTCCTAAACTTTTTCATAGTCTGTTTTTCACAGTCTCTGCTTCCCTTTTTCAAAACCTTGTGGCAGGGCCTGGCACAATAGTCTAGTGATTGGATCCTTGCCTAGTGTCTGCTGGGATCCCATATGGGCGCCAGTTTGTGTCCCAGCTGCTCCACTTCCCACCCAAGTGGCCGGTAAAGTAGTGGGGGATGGCTCAAAACCTTGGGACCCTACACCTGCATCAGGGACCTGGAGGAGACTCTAAATTTCAGATCAACTCAGTCCTGGCCATTGTGGCCAGTTGGGGAGTGAATCAGCAAAGAATCATTCTCTGTGTGTGTCCTCCTATCTGCTTTTCCAGTCAAAATAAATCTTAAAAAAAAAAAAGAAAGAAAAGAAAAGAAACCTTGTGGCAGGTGACAAACATAATGGGTAACTGGGGGAAGCTAGGAAAAAAAATTACAAGCTTAAAAAAAAAAACCTTCCCTTAAAAGTTGTAAAGATATAGATGGGGCCAGTACAGTGTACTAATCCTCTGCCTGCAAAATCGGCATCCTATATGGGTACTGGTTCTCATCCCAGATGCTCCACATCTGATCTAGCTCCTCGCTAATGCATCTGGGAAAACAACAGAGGATGGCTCAAGTGCTTGGCGTCCTGACCTTATGTGGGAATCCCATAGGAGGTTCCTGGTTTCTAGCTTCCAATCAGCTGTTGTGATCATTTGGGGAGTGAACCAGTGAACAGAAGATTCTCTCTCTTCTCTGTAAAATTGCCTTTCAAAAGAAAATGAATAAATTAAAAAAAAAAAGCTGTATGTACAGACATGACAATCGCCAGATGGCCTACACACCAGGAGACTCCCAAAACTAACAGCCCCTCACTCACTGTAAACTATGAAACCACAGGCCAATTATCTTTGGGGCTTCCACCTGAGCTTGGATTATTACTTTCTACTCTTTTTTCCCCCCAAAGGTTTATTTCTTTGTGTTCTTTTTTTTTAACTATGCAATTCCACATAGTTAGTAGGCAATAATATTTTTTAAGATTTATTTTTATTGGAAAGTCAGATTACAGAGAGGAAGATCCTCCATATGAAGATTCACTCTCCAGGTAGCCATAATGGCTAGAGCTGAGCCAATCTGAAGCCAGGAGCCCAGAGTCTCCTCTGGCTCTCCCATACAGGTACAGGGTCCCAAGTCTTTGAGTCGTCCTCAACTGCTTTCCCGGGCCCCAAGCAGGGAACTGGGTGAGAAGTGGAACAGCTGGGACATGAACCAGCGCCTATAAGGGATCTCAGCGTGTGCAAGGTGAGGACTTTAGCCACTACGCTACTGTGCCCGGCCCAGGCTTATTTATTGATTTGAAAGTTAGAGTTACAGAGTAAAGGGGAAAGAACTTCCACTGCTGTTTCATTGCCCAAGTGGCCACAGCCCTCACAGAAAGCCAGGATCTAGGAGCTTTATCAGTCTCCCAATGCTGGGGTCTGTGCAATGGGTGTGGATGACACCAAGGTGTGAAGAGAGCAGCTCCCCTGTTGGCAAGGCCATGAGGAGCTTCCAGCTGTTTGGCAAGGCCCGGCAGATGTCTCTCCAACCACCTTGACACAGTCTCACCCCCTTTTGCATGGACACTCAACCACCCCACTAAGAATTCTGTAACCTATTGAGGCATTGTTGTTTGCCCTTGTGAGATGGTTTTTGCAACCAGTGTGAGCTTAGGAGTTAATGTTGCTGATCATGTCTTGGTGAGTGGGCCTTTAATAATTTCAAATGGAGTACAATTAAGTCCATGCAATTACTGGACACCTTATTGTGTGCCTACCCACTGCCCTGGAATCTGGCCCAGGGAAAGGGCTTGATGAGAATCTTTTTTTTTTTTTTATGGTTTTAACAATGACTTTTCCCCCCATTTTTTTTCTCTTTATTTTTGACAATCTTTACATAGTTAATTAGGGCACAAAAGTTCAAGGGCTACAGGAAAGTGGGTAAGACTATTTTTTTCAACATTTTTTTCCTGTATCTGGAGTAAGGGGGGAGGTAAAGGGAGAAGCCCCACCTGGTCTCACACTCATCCCAGATCCCTGATATGGGGCATGCTCCAAGGGTCTTGCTCAAGTGGTGTTGATAGTTCAGTAGTCATGAGTTGCTGCCAATCTTGCCATTCCAAGCACGATGAGGTCACTGAAGAATCCACTAATTGACATATTCCATCTTAGAGTCTCCGTTTGCCCAGTTTCCTACTGCAGACGTGTGGCTGGGGTAGTTGACTGACTTGTTCTCTCCTCTGTCTTTTCATGGTTAGGGTTCTGAGTCTGGCAGTTAAAGAGCTCAGCTCGGGTCCCTCCGTCCCCAAAGCTTGTGCACTTTGCCATTAGACTTCAGCTAGGTTTTGCCAGGATGCAATGGTTTGGAAATTTACCTTGCAAAGGGATCACTGCCTAAGGTGGGGGACCCAGGCAGAAACGAGGCGCCAAGACAGAGGCCCGGAAAGCACAAACAGGGTGAAACAGGCACGGGACAGGCTAGACCACCGGACGCTGCACAGCCGCGGGGCTCCAAGCATGCTGCCCTGCCTTTCTCCCGTAAGCCTCTTACCCTGTGTCCGTTGTTCACGCCCTCGTGTTTAAATAAAGCTAGGTTATTGAGAGAGGCGGATTGAAAAGTAGGGAAAAAAAAAAAAAAGAAGTGCGGCTGCGCGCCTGCGCGCTGGCGGCGGCGGCGGCGGCAGTGCCCGGCGGGGAGCGGGTCCGGAGCTGGTCGCCGGACCCAGAACTGGGGGGGTCTGTTCGGGGCGTGAGGGAGCTCCCTCGCCGGGCCGTTGGCGGCTTGATGGAGTAAGAGGGGTCGTCTGTGGATGTGAGTATCGGAGGACTGGCCTGCGTTGTGCGTTTGGGAGCCCGAGGGTCCCGATGGTCTGTTCGTGCGCCGAGCTGTAGGGCTGCGGGGTAGTGGGACGGCGGCCGGCTCTGCGCTCCCGCCGGCCCGGCCGACCCCTCTGCTCGAGCCGCACGGGCTTCCGGGCTTCCCGACAGCCAGTGCTCTGGCTTCGGGGTGCAGATTTCTCGCCGAGGCGTTCCGACTGTGTCCTTGGCCCCCAGAAAGAGACGTGACTCCGAAGCCCTTAACCTCCAGGGAAGGCCGCTGACCTTCGGCCCCGGGAATCCACAGACCCTGGTGCATGAAAGCCGGGGGGCTCCTCCTGGGCCTCCCCTGCCTTACAGTCACTCTTTCCGTCGGTTGGTTTCCCTTCCTTAGACGTGTTGATAATAGCAACTTATGGAGTGTTTACTATGTGTCCATTTAATATTGAATACTAGTCTTGGTGTTTTGTTATGGCGGGGAGATGCTTCCGCTGCCCCTCCCCCATCTATTCAGTGTAATTAGCTAAGATTAAGCCATCTTGGAAAGTTTGAGATTTCCACGTCCCGTAGCAATTTAGGACCGCCGTCCTAGTCAAGGAAGTTCTCTTTGCAAGTGCGTCTTCTATCCACCATAATGGTCTAATAGTGAGTTGTTTTTATAAACCACTAATGACTTTTGAGTGCTTACTGAGATTGGGATACTGCTTCACATCCCATGGGAAATCGTAAAAAAACAAAACAAAATTCTTTGAGCCCTGGTACCCACTTGGTGGTGGAGTGGAAGAGAATATTTAGATTCACCTAGGCATTATTTAGCATATGCTACACGTGTGTCCATCGCACTCAGGTGTCACCTAAACTGAGATAATTGTGATGGAAGACGATCTTTGAGCAGCAGAGTCAGATGGGGTTGCTGAGGTTCTGAAGGTGGTTTGTTGAAGGTAATGTAGCCATTGTAAGTGGCGAAATTGTCTGATATGATGCGGAAGCTCGTGTTTTTACTGTTACGGTGGTTTACATGTTCCAACTACTTGTGCTGGGAAATCATACTGTTACAGTTTATAAACTCGGGAAAATGGTAGGAGCTTTTAATTAACGACACTTACTAGAGGTTTTGTTGGAAGAGAATTTAAAAATTAGAAAATGGTCTGGGAGGCCCGGTAGGATGGCCTAGCAGCTAAAGTCCTCACCCTGAGCGTGCCGGGATCCCATATGGGCGCCCGTTCTCCAGCTCTCTGCTTGTGGCCTGGGAAAGCAGTAGAGGACGGCCCAAAGCCTTGGGACCCTGCACCCGTGTGGGAGACCTGGAGGAGGTTCCTGGCTCCTGGCTTCAGATCAGCACAGTATGGCCACTGTGGCCACTTGGGGAGTGAATCATCAGACGGAGGATCTTCCTCTCTGTCTCCCCTCCTCTCTGTATATCTGACTTTCCAATAAAAACAAAATAAATCCTTTTAAAAATGGTCTGGGAAGGAGGTTGAGGACGGAAGGAATCTGATCTGACTAGCTCAGAACCGGTTGCTTTGTTGAACAGGAAGATAATTAAAAGCTGTGCATGGGGATTGTTGTACCTCTAGGAGAGCACACATGAAGTGAAGGCTGCTGTATCGAGGAAGCAAGGATGCTGGAGAACTTGGTTCTGGGAAGTATTTCGATTGTGTGTGTTGTAGTTGGAGTATCTTAATGGGAGGTTACCAGTGAGCGAGTGAATTAGGGTGTGTGATTTTGATTCTGAAAGAGACTGTCAAATAAAGACAGTTCCCCATTCATCAGGAGACGGCTGGTTAAAAAATGTGTATGTTTATAATGAGCTCACTAATGTACTAATATTGGGTATGCAAAGCAGACTGTTTTCTAATCATTATGGTCTTAAGAAAAAAATATGTACTGCATATACAGACTAGCATTAGAAATAGAATAATGGTTGCCAGTGACTGGGTTTAAAAGAAATTGGGTCTAAAAAAATGGGTGTAGTTTTGTTTTAAAGATTATAATTTGTTATTGACTAAACTTGTAGCAATCACTAGAGCTTTGATGAGAAGTCAATCAAGGGCCTCCCAGGTCCCTTTTCCCCCCAGAGGCAGTTTTTATTGGGCACTTTCTTAGATATCCAGTTAGAGATACTATATATTGATGTTTCTCACCAGGGTAAATCTTGACTTTAACAGATGCAAGCATTTTAATAGTATAATAAGGGTGGGAAATATTGGCCTGCTGGCCCTATAAGGCATGTGAAATTATTTGGGCTAGCAAGTTTGGACTTGAAATTCAGCAAATCTATGCAATGCTGATTTTTTTTTTTTAAAGATTTATTTAATTTTTATTGCAAAGGTGATATACAGAGAGGAGGGGAGACAGAAAGGAAGATCTTCCCTCTGATGGTTCACTCCCCAAGTGGTCACAACAGCTGGACCTGAGTCAATCCGAAGCTAGCAGCCAGGAGCTCTTCTGGGTATCCCGCGTGGGTGCAGGGTCCCAAGGCTTTGGGCCGTCTTCAACTGCTTTCCTAGGCCACAAGCAGGGAGCTGGATGGGAAGCGGGGCCACCAGGATTAGAGCTGGTGTCTGTATGGGATCCTGGGCATGCAAGGCGAGGACTTTAACCACTACACCATCGCGCCAGACCCTCAATGCTGATTTTTTTTAAAAAAGATTTATTTTATTTTTATAGGAAAGTCAGATATACAGAGAGGAGGAGAGACAGAGAGGAAGATCTTCTGTTCTATGATTCACACCCCAAGTGACCGCAATGGCCGGTGCTTGCGCCGATCTGAAGCCAGAAATCAGAAACCTTCTCCTCCAGGTCTTCCTCACGGGTGCAGGTTCCCAAGGCTTTGGGTCATCCTTGACTGCTTTCCCAGGCCACAAGCAGGGAGTTGAATGGGAAGCGGGACTGCTGAGATTAGAACTCGCGCCCATATGGGATCCTGGTGTGTTCAAGGCAAGGACTTGAGCCACTGGGTCACACACTGGGCCCAAGATTTATTTTTGTTGGAAAGTCATATCTACAGAGCGAAGGGGAGACAGAAAGATCCTCTGTCCACTGGCTCACTACCCAAGTGGCTCAGCTGCTGGAGCTGAAGCCGAGAGTCAGGAATGTCCCCCAGGTCCCTCATGCAGATGCAGGGTCCCAAGGCTCTGGGCCATCCCTGACAGCTTTCCCAAGCCATAAGCAGGGAGCTAATGGCGAAGTGGAGCAGCTGGGACATGAACTGGCACCCACATGGGATCCCAGCACAGGCAAATTGAGGACTCTAGCCACTAGGCTACTGTGCCGCTGGGCCCATAAGGCTGACTTTTAAGTTAATAATCTAGTATGGCCTACAAATGATGTTACAAATACCCAAATGGCCTTTGGCGGAAACATGGTTTCCTCCTTTTGTATAATTACGATAATGCTGTTGAACATTGTACTCGACTTTTTGTTACTTGTTTCTATTCTAGACATCTGTGCTAATTTGTTCTACAAATAATGGATGCCTAGTCTAGATGACTTTGCCAAGTAACAAAAATAAAATGATGGATAAGAAGACATTCGTACCAGTCATTATGGAGTGTATATTCTGCTGGGACAGGCTGTCATCAAACTATCATACTAATCATTAAGTACGTTTAAGATTTAGTAGGTGCCTTCTTTAAATGGATTTACTAATTTATTCCTCACAGTAGTGCAATAATGTGGTATTTGATCTGTGTGGAAACTGAGGCACAGAAATTAAACCACCTGCTCAGAATTAGAGTGTGCTGTGTGGCAATTTGGTTACCCTAATGCAGTGATTTACATTTAGTTTAGGTTCATCATCCAAAGAGGTGCAGAATTTATTTATTTGTTTATTTATTTATTTTGGATTGTTTTCAAAATGTTTAGAAGGATAGCTTGGCAATGGATTAGATATGTGGGATATTGGATATCCTGCTGTATAAAGGACTTCGTAGAGTGAAAAAGTTGTTCAGCTTCTTATCACTTTTCTGTTTTTAGAAAGTTAGTTTTTAGAGGGCTGGCATTGTGGTGTGGCAGGTTAAGCTGCCACTTGGGACTGTTGTCCTGTATTGGAATGCTGGCTTGAGTCCCAGCAGCTGCCTTGATTCTGATCCAACCTCATGCCAGTGTGCCTGGGGAAGCAGTTGCAGGAGATGGCCAGAACACGAGCCCCTGCTGTTCACATGGCAGGACTGGATGGAATTCCTGGTTCCTGGCTTAAGTCTGGCACAGCTCTGGCTGTTGTGGGTGTTTGGGTAGCAACCAGGTAGATGGAGGATCTTTCGTTTTCTGTCACTCTGTCTCTCAAGCAAATCATGTTTTTAAAATATTAATTTTAAGCTGAAAAATTACATATATTGTGTACAGCATAATACCTTAAAATATTTGCTTATTGTAGAGTAGCTAGATGGAACTAATTAACCTATGCATTACCTTACATCTCACTTTTTATGGTGAGAATGTTTAAATTTTGCAAAGCTTTCTAACTTCCCCCAGGATATTCATGTTGATGAAAAATTTGTTTATAATTATCTGAGCCTAGATTCAAAGCTGTTTTACATATACTGTGTTTTTTGCATGAAACCTAGTTTTGTTATAAATCAAGATATTATGGGGGTTGACTGTGGCACCGCAGGCTAATCCACTCTCTGCAATGTTGACATCCTCTATGGATGCTAGTTTGTTGTCCCGTCTGCTCTACTTTCGATCCAGCTCTCTGCTAATGTGCCTGGAAACAGTGCAAAATGGGTCCATGCACCCACTTAGGAGACCTGAATGAAGCTCTTTGCTTCTTGCTTTGGTCTGGCCCAGCTCCAGTTCTTGCAACCATTTGCAGAGTGAACCTGCAGATGGAAGATCTTTCTTTGTTTCTCTGCCTTTCAACTAAATAAATGCAAAGTAAATCTTGGGGCTAGTGTTGTGGCAAAACGCGCTAAGCATCAGCCTGTGATACCAGCATCCTGTATAGTGTCAGTTTATGTTCTAGCTGCTCTGCTTGCTTTTTAAGAAAAATAT